GCTCTCCGCTTAAACATTAACAGTTTGAAATGAAATGCCCATAAATGTCATTTACCCCATGGGCCTGCAGTTCATTACATGGGCATTGCAGTCTTTTGCAAATATGCAAATGCCTCACATGTTTGGATGTCCTTTGGAAAACATCCATGCCCTGTGTAGCAAGAGACCCAGGTCAAATGCTTGCAGGAAGCCTACACCTGACCTGAGAGCTCATGGTCTACACTGTGATAGTTACCGTGGTGGGTGAGACCTGAGAATGCCATCGTTTCCAGCCTCCTTTGCTTTGTTTCCACAGGAATCAAAACCCAGGCTCTTAGGGCAGCAAAAGGACTGATCCAAAACTACCCTTCCTAAACACACGGTGAGGCACAGGCCCTCTCATTTTGTGACAAAGATTAGCCCCCCTTCTAATAATTTTTTAAAACTGTAAACCCTTCCCCAAGATATTAGACAATGACACATGTAGGGCCTCAGTATAACCACACTTACTCTTATCAAAAGCAGCTAAAACTACATCTTCCAATAAAGCAAAGTCCATTTTTCCTCTATCTGTACCACAGATCTCATATAGGTCTTCCCTTTCGTGCTTTCTGCTGAAAGTTGAAAGCCTTTTCTGTACAAAAGCAATGACAAAAGCTGCATTTGACCAAAACCCTGATGCAGGCAGGTTTTGTTGTAGACAGGGGATTTGGTTAAATGCACAAAAGCAACTGTGCAAAGCAACCAGTACAATACTGTATATCAAGAGTAATTAAAAGCCTTCATTAAAAATGTGACAACCAAACCATTTTATATTAGACAGAGAAACCCCTATCGACATTTGAAAATAATGAATAAACAGAATGCCAATTCACAAACATTTGCTATTTAGACTTTGATGCATACTCTTAGCTCTAAAATCTGCTCCTGGATACACACAGGAAACTCCTATTGAAGTCAGTTGGAGTTGTTTATGTGTAGTTGGCAGCGAATTTTGGCCCTCAGACATTTTTTAGTGTTCATTTAAGAGAGAACAGGCTAGCATAACCCCCAGTTTAACCCTCCGATTGAAGGCATTGCTCTCAATAGATTCAAATGTGATGGCTATGGACAGTTATCTTAGAAAGACCGTACTAATTCTTACACAGCTTCGGTAAAAGCAGTTGCTGAATTTACTTGTATAGGAATTTACTGCTGATATAGACAGATAAGCTAGAATGGGATGAATTTTTACCCTCTCTTATTACATAATCTGATCCTAGTATTAAGCAAAACACAATATAATTGTTATGGCAGCCTTTAAGGTCCCCTGTCATAAACGACACTGTCATACATGTAGCAGAGGCATGGTATCTCACTTATGACAGAACAGCTCAAATAAGGATGAGGTAGGTGTTGGAGTAGGTGAAGCAGATCTAGAACTGATGCAGATGTGCAATGAGTGCATTTTCTGTACATCTTTCCAGATCTCTTAGATCCCATCTCTGCCCTTTGCTTTCCATCTTCCTAGCCCAGCTCCTTTCCTTTCTCTTGCAGTCAGGTGGGTACACCAGTGACAGTGGAGTAGTTAGTGGTGGTTGGATGACATGACTTTTGCTCTTGGCTCTGCTGCTCACCCCTCCGCTGCACACACAGAGCAGAGCCAGGGAATGGCAGGGCTGTCTCAGAGTGACAAGCGGCTCTCCTGAGCAATGTGTAACACTAGAGCTCCAGGATTTTGGGCGCAGGTCTGCTCCTTGGAAAGCTTTTCCTCTTGGTGCATCCATCCTGACTGACAGCTAGAAAGCAATGGCAGTGCCTGCAGATTGGAAGGATTCTTCATTATTACTGTAAAAGATCAAAATAATGCAGTGGGTAGAAAAAGAATTGCAGTCCTATACTGACATGGGAGCAAGGAAGCCAGCCAACAGTGGGTAGTGTTTAGTTCTGCCTGTCCTCTGTGTTCCTCTCACTTGCAATGGTGCTTAGGTTTTTCCACCTTGAGTACATTTAGTATTACACGTTTTCCTTTACACTTCCTGCTGCTGCATTTCCAGCGAACACAAGTGCATTGTGCTTGGCAGAGTGAAAAGCTAGGAAACCAGCTGGATAGTTTTGTGCACAATCAGCAATCATCACTTTTCCTTATGAATCAATAGGGATTTTCCCAGCCAGGAAACCCACAGGCATTTTTTTTTTTTCTGTGTTTGTAAGCCTTGGTTTAACGAAGCCTCCCACATCTGATATTTGATGTTGATGAGCCATAACCAGTGCAAGCATATGTGCATGGTTCACAGCATGCCTGAGCATCAGTGAAGTGCAAAGTGATACAGCTCTTGGAGCACTGTTGGATGTGAAAAGACTAAACAGAAAGTGAGGGCTACTTCATGTTTGCTTCTGTGGCAGCCCTTGAGTGCTTTTCCTACTTCAGCTGCAGCCCAAGGTTTTACACAAGCAAGGGAATAATGATTTGCTCACTAAAATTAGTGTTGTGATTGTAATGAAAAGGGTTAATACCATTTTTTATAAATGGTTTTAACTTCAGCCTCACTTTTAGGCATGAAAAGGAGCTCTGCTTCTCTCTATATGTCATCCTAAATATTGAGTTTATTTTAAATAATTCTGTGGCATAAAATCATATCACTTTCCTTACAGTACTTCCATTGGTGTTAATTGCTATATACTTATAGTAGCCCCCAAAATACAATTTAAATGCTCATTTTTTATGCTTTCATCTATTTTTTAATTCCTGTATTTTAGCAAGTACTAGCCAACAATAGTTTTGCCATTAGATTTAACAGTTAAATTTACAGTTTTAAACCATTTTTATGACATCCAGCTGCATCAAGGTGACAAGTCTACTGGTAAAACAACAATTTAAGTACATTTACAGTCAAAAACATTTTTTGTCACTCCTAAATTGACAATTTTCAATTGCTCCTTATTGTTAAAAACAATTTTTAAAATTACACAGTGAGAACATAACAGTCTCTGTCACTGTGTAATTAAGTCCCTTGAACTGTTTGCTATATATAGAAATACTGTATTATAAAGTGTTAGTTACAGTAAGAAAAAAAAAACCAAACAAAACAATTACATTTATAGTGAAAACCATTAAATTGATTTACAGCAAAACAGTTAATTCACTGTGTTTGTGCATAAAACTACTACTAATGTGACACAAAGTGTAGTTTTCATTTTGAACTCTGCAAACTTAGGAAAATTATAAACAGGAAGATACAATAAAGCTAATGAACATCTGAAATGCTTATATTCAATAAATAGCTTTATATTTAGAAAATACTTCTGCTGGAGAGACAGTTTGCTTGTTTCCAGTACAGTGCAATTCTTCAGTGTAATGAGAAATTTGGAAAAGAATTAAGAAGGGCCTGACACTTCCTTTAAGAGTCCAGCTTAATTGTAGGCTGAAATACATCTTTATTTCAACTTAATTTCAAGCATATTCCAGTGTTTTGCTGATCTTAGTCTCTTGAGTGTGGAAGCTAGGTGGCATATATCAGTGTTAAATATATTTACTATCATCATGTTTTATTTTTTACTGCGTCTTCTTTTGTAGCTAGTAATGAATATGTACATTTCTCAGCGTTAATCCTATTGCCCATTTTTAGGTGTCACTATTAGGTACACAAATGTTATTTTAAGGTTCAGTTGAAACATAAATGATTTATTTTCCATTTTATCTATTTTCAATATACTTTAATAACCCAGTACGTATTTGCCAGTTTGCCTATACTGTATACACAGAAACAAAACTAAGCAACATGCCATATAATTTTTAACCATGGCAAAATGACAATGAGTGTCATGGAACAAAAATACTACTATATATTAGCAAAGGAAAACCATACTTCCCTTCATCATAAGTATTTTGTTTTCTGCTAGACGCCTTCATCCCGTAGTAATCCATTAGACAATACATTAGCAGCAGCTTTTTGGAGAGTTTTTTTACTTAGAAAGAGAGACTCCTAAACCTTGTTGGTGAAATCAAACCCTTGTTACAGTCGAGGGAAAAGATACCTTTAATTTAGTCTGACCCATAGTGATTCGAAACTCTTATGTTCCTGAAATGCACTATTTTGTAGCTGCTCTTCTATTAGTTAAAAACATGTATGAATTAGCAGAAAAGTGAACTTGTGGGTGACTGTACATTTTTTTTTTTAACAGACATTTTACCCATTGCTTACAGTGATGACAACTTGCTTCCTTACAAGAAGGAAGAGGAATGTTCCCCTTCTCTAATCAGAATATAGTAGGACTCAATATTTGCAGCCACAGTAGCTGAAGACCTGATATTGAGATGATAGAATAATGTGCAAGAAGTAAATACTTGGCTGCTTTTATGCAAACATTGAGGAGCATTGAAGAGGTATTACCAGTGTACTCACATTCTAACTTTAAAAGGGCACTTTAATTTTTAAAGCATTTGCCCACTATAAACTAAACTTGCAGAAGAAAATCCAAATAATTCACCAGAATGAGAGAAAAACCTTGATGATATACTTGTTTCCCTTTTAATTTCATATCTGGCATTGTTTTACCTACATAACAATAGATGCCAATTAATAAAATTGATTAAAGACCACCCTGTAGATGCAACATCTGCTTGCGAATCACTGGTATAAAGAGCATGAATGAGGAGGGAAAAAAATATCAGGATTCTGTCCTACACTGGTAATGTATATAACAAACTGTTGAGCACAAAGCACAGACATGCTGGCAGTTATCAGCTCTTTCTCAAACAGCAAAGACACAGACTGCCCACTGTTCTAGGCTGCTGCTGTCCTACAGGAAAATTGAGACAAAGGTAAGTGATTCATTTGAAATCCAGATATTTCTCAACAAAACCTTTGATACTCTAGGACAGAAAGGGCAATTATGGGGAGAGTGATAGGGGCTAACAAGACCAATACTCCAGCTCATCTACTTTGGCATTGTCCAGTTTTCAAAACCCGAGTACCATTATGCTCGATTGTTCTAAGGAAAACAGGTTGTGGTGAATTTGTGTGAATGGTAACTTTTTGTTATCAGCCATTTTCCCTTAAGTATGAGATAGGTTATATATGCTATGTTTAACATCTGATCGTTAATAAATTAAGCTGGTTGAAAGTGTCTATACAAAGATGAAAGAAAAATACTATGCTCAATTAGAAGAAAAGATTAAACCCCACAGAAAATGCAAATTATTACTTTCAGACAAAATTTAGAATGAATTTTACTAGCTCTAGAACCATGCCGCATTCAGAATTTTAATAAAAATGAAATTAAGTAATTTCACCTACTTTAAAACACTGAGACTGGCAGTAATATAAAACCAATACGAAAAGAGTATGTTGGCCTCAGCTTAGATTGTGCCTATTTTAAAGGGTAAAAATTAATAATGATGCATGAGACATGGTCATTTTTCTTCTGTAAATCATCTGCTACAGACATCTGATTGCAACTCAATGAACAATATAGCCTGTTTCTCCTACATTGTTTAAGTTCAAACTATAATTTAAAAAATATTTTACTTTTTAGCAAAAGCAGGACAACCCCCTGATAATTATTTTTTCGGAAATGCATTTTTCACATAGTCTTATTTTTAAGGTATGAATCAGTCACTGGCTTAAATGGGGTATGTAGTTCTAATAATATAACTTAAAATCACTGTCTCTAAATATATGAAGTATGGAAAGGGTTACATTTCAGCAGGCTCTGTCATATCAACTAATGATCCTTTTCATGCCTTCTTAGTTCTTATTTTACTATAAAATTTTAAGCTAGAAATCACTGTGACAAGTTAATGACCTCACGTTTAATGTTTAAACTGGGATGTTACTTAGGTCACAGCATGAATGAAAACAAAAATCTTTTTATAAACTTCCTCTCTTTCAGGGCATGCAGCCTTTGCCATTCTGTCCCTCTGTGGGTGTCAACTGGTCCTTGGCAGTAGAAGACATGTTCTTGCATTCTCGGACTCCATGGTTGTCACCTATAGTGAGCACAACAGTTAATACAGTACAGCAGCACTGAGTTCTTCAAAAGTTACCCAGATTTGTTGATATGCTGCCCTGACAGACTTGCGGACTCACTCATTAGTTACACAGTAAAAAATTGGAATCCTTTCAACCACTACAAATGCCAGCTCCAACAGAAGCACAAGAGCTTCAGAGTGGATCAAACTAACTTTTCTGGTGCTTGGTATTGCTCACAAAATTCCTGATTTGTATATGTATGAATAAGCACAAAACTGAAAGACACAAGACTAAACAAAAGAATTTAACCTCTGGTTTCAGTGAGGGGAAAAAAAAAGGTGGCTGAAAAGCTAAATATCCCATGCGGACCAAAAATCCAGAGTCTCAGAGCCCCATGAATGCAAAGATGTTCACCTGAATGCCTAGCTTTCTTTTGAATATGTTTTTAAAATGGCAATTTTGATGAAACAAGGAGTTTTTCTCTCCCTAATATTTGAATTCTGCAAGAATGCCATAGGTTTAAAATGAGATTGCTGACCAGTCTTTTTCTTTCTTTTAGTACAAGTTGGAGCATCAGTGACACGGTATCCTCTTCAGATACTGGTGTGTTTATTAGCTTTGGCTCATGCTGCTGTGCCTTGGATGATATCTCCCCATGCTCTCTGAGCTGTAGCTGTTAGCTCCTGACCCTTGGCTGGGAATGCCTGGTAGACCAAGAGGCAGCCCTGAAGCCCTGCACATGTCCTCTCACTGAATCCGTGTGAATGGAGGAAGTAGGGAAAGGGATCTGCACAACATCACTTCTGAGAAATCACTTCCTCCCACGCTTTCCGAGCCTGAACACAAACGAGGGGGATGCTCCAGTCACACCGATTTCTACACGTCAATGCCTTTTCCTTTACCCATGCTGACTAGCTCCTTTTTGATCTTCGTGCATTTTACTTGCAATCTAGTATGTCACATAATATTAACAGACTTAATTAACTGAAGGAGTAGATCCTGCTCTCATTCAAGTCAAGAGGAGTTTGGCTTTGAGTGGAAAGGGGAGGGCTAAGATGAGGTAGGGTCAGAGGTCACCCAGTTTAAAGAAATTTATGTAGGCTCACTTTAAAAACCACATAAATCTTTCTCTCTTTGCATTGCAGATAGACAGCTAGAGGAAGTGAAAAGCATGGCAAAAGATTTGCAGGCAGCTTGTCATTTGGAGGCAAAGTTAAAAGAGCGGAAGCCCCCTATTGTAAGGTTTTTCCCGTTGCCATTGCTCTTTGTTTTTCTCTTCCCCTGTAGGGTGTAGAAGTGAGAAAAAACAGCCCATATTCACACTAAGATTATTGCAAACATGCAAAGTTCAGAGACGCCCAGAGATGTCATTCAGTGAGGACCCTCTTGGCTTGTATATCACAATCATGTAATGAGATTCTCATTCATCACATACCCAAAATCAGGTGTCTGCAGTTCATGTGCCAAGTGCCCATAACAAGGGTGCACCTACATTTCAGAGAAGTTATTGTGGCAGATATATCCCCACTACCATCAACAGAGAAGGTACAGGCTGTATCAACACTCCACTCCTATCATGTGGATGGAAGCACAACTACCACAAAAGGAGAGAACCTACCTTTTTATGGTACAACAGATGTACGTTTGGCCAAATAAAGGAGGGGAAAAACCACACATCCCTAAAGGCTACAGTACAGAATAAGCTTCTGAAAATGTTGCCTTGTATAGAATCTAGTCAATAGTGGAGAAAAAAGAAGCATGTGGAGTGTTGTCCAGCAATCTGGATTCAGACTGCAGGCTGGGGTGTGGTCACTCTTGGAGTAGCTTGATCAGCTATAATCATAGAATCATAGAATCACAGAATAGTTTGGGTTGGAAAGGACCTTAAGATCATCTAGTTCCAACCACCCTGCCATGGGCAGGGACACCTCACACTAAACCATGTCACTCAAGGCTCTGTCCAACCTGGCCTTGAACACCACCAGGGATGGAGCATTCACAGCCTCCCTGGGCAACCCATTCCAGTGCCAAATCACCCTTGCAGTAAAGAACTTCTTCCTTATATCCAATACAAGCCTCCTTTATTTAAGTTTTAACCCATTGCCCCTTGTCTTATCACTACAGTCCCTAATGAGGAGTCCCTCTCCAGCATCCCTATAGGCCCCCTTCAGATACTGGAAGGCTGCTATGAGGTCTCCAGGCTGAACAGCCCCAGCTTTCTCAGCCTATCTTCATACCAGCCCCCTGATCATCCCCGTGGCCCTCCTCTGGACTTGTTCCAACAGTTCCATGTCCTTTTTATGCTGAGGACACCAGAACTGCACACAATACTCCAGGTGAGGTCTCACAAGAGCAGAGTAGAGGGGCAGGATCACCTCCTTTGACCTGCTGGTCACGTTCCTTTTGATGCAGCCCAGGATACGGTTGGCTTTCTGGGCTGCAAGCGCACACTGAAGCCGGCTCATGTTCATTTTCTCATCAACCAACACCCCCAAGTCCTTCTCTGCAGGGCTGCTCTGAATCTCTTCTCTGCCCAACCTGTAGCTGTGCCTGGGATTGCTCTGACCCAGATTGCTCTGACCTTGCACTTGGCATGGTTAAACTTCATGAGGTTGGCATCAGCCCACCTCACAAGTGTGTCAAGGTCCCTCTGGATGGCATTCCTTCCCTCCAGGGTATCAACCGAACCACATAGCTTGGTGTCATTGGCAAACTTGCTGAGGGGACACTCAATCCCCCTGTCCATGTCAGCGACGAAGATGTTAAACAAGACCGGTCCCAACACCGATCCCTGAGGGACACCACTTGTTACTGGTCTCCAGCCGGGCATTGAGCCATTGACCACAACTCTTTGCGTGCAGCCATCCAGCCAGTTCTTTATCCAACGAGCAGTCCACCATCAAATTGATGTCTCTCCTGTTCAGAGACAAGGATGCCGTGTGGGACAGTGTCAAACGCTTTGCAGAAGTGCAGGTAGATGACGTCAACTGCTCTACCCCTGTCCATCAGTTCTGTAGCCCCATCATAGAAGGCCACCAAATTGGTCAGGCAGTATTTCCCCTTAGTGAAGCCATGCTGGCTGTCTCCAAGCACCTTGTTGATTTTCATGTGCCTTAGCATGCCTTCCAGGAGAATCTGCTCCAAGATTTTGCCAGGCACAGAGGTGAGACTGACTGGTCTGTAATTCCCCAGGTCATCCGTTTTCCCCTTCTTGAAAATGGGGGTTATATTTCCCTTTTTCCAGTCATCGGGAACTTCACCAGACTGCCATGATTTTTCAAATATGCTGGCCAGGGGCTTAGCAACTTCATTCGTCAGCTCCTTCAGGACCCGTGGATGGATTTCATCAAGTCCCATGGACTTGTGTACGTTCAGGTTCTTAAGATGATATCAGACCTGATCCTCTCCTACAGTGGGCCCTAGGTCTTCATTTTCCCAGTCCTTGTGTCTGCCTTCCAAAATGTTAGGAAAAAACAAAAATGGTAATAATTGATATCTGAAAGAGAAAGGATGAAGGACTGATGAAAATGTATCTGTTTATGCACACAATCTGCTACCATAGCACAGGGTTGCTTAGCTTATATTCAGAGACAGAAATGTCATAGGAAAGGGTGATCTTTTTGTTCTTTATCCTCTACTCCCTGCACATTTCAATGTGTACACAGTTTGTGGAGGAGAAAGTTTATTATTTATATAATAATATAACATTTGTTATTTATATAATTATTTTTATTTATTCCTGAAAAATCTGTCATATTTTACTTCAACATGTACCAGCCTTCCAATGATAGAAAGCCAAAATGCAGCAGCAGCAAAGATAAAGCCCATGATGTGAATGCAGAGGACCTTTGTCTATTGAGGATTTATGAGTATGTAGTATTTGGCATTTTAAGAATCCTTTGGCACATTATTCATAGACAAACAGACACTTGAGAGACGAAAGTTAAAAAATATATGAAAAGAAGACCTGATTTTTTGCTCCAGGCTGTTTTGTGAATGCTGTTCAATTTACACCTGTTTAGTAATTTATCCAACAGCTGTGGCTACTGTGATAATATGGAATAACTACAGAAGTTTAAACTAAATTTTATCTTGTAGATATCTATGGATAATCTCATTTTGAAACAGCAAGAGCACCTAACTTACTATGACACTAATACTATGATGATTAGGATAAGACTACTATAACTTCATCACTTTGATTCTGGCTTTATGGTTAGACTAGTGTGTCTAGTGTAGCCCCTTTTCTGAAACACTTTCCTATTTGCACAAAGTTTATTTATAACTACAGGCATTTGGCAGTGCTGGTGGTCAAGGAACTGTGGAAACTGCTGCTGTCTGTGAAACTTTTCTTCAGATTTTTTTGTTACTTAAAAAAGTTTCAGCCTTGTCACGTTTTCAAGGCCACTGTAGGACAGCATCAGCATCAGTACCTACTTCTCAAGTCTGCCAGGGGAAGATGCTGATTACTGTAAAAGGGAAATGTTTCCTTGATGCGGGAGTGATGTGGAGGGGTGAGGGAGCTAAGGGTCACGGTTTAGCACTAAAATGGCTGCCAGGCTTACAATGGCAAGTACTAAGGAACTCCTGGGTATGATATAGGTGGCTGTTTTTTTCTTTTCTGACAGGATGTCTATGATATAATTACACTTTCTTGACATTAGGTCCTTTATTTATGGGAGGTTTTTGCTCTTTCTAATTTAACTAGGGAATCTTTTTCCTAACAATCATTGACAATTTTTAAAAGAAAGACTAAGTAATCTAAAAGTAAAATCTCTTTCACCAGGGAGAGTGAGTGGCTCATGTGCTGTTTCTTCATTTTCTGCCACTACATGTTTTCTGCTTCGTTCACTAAAAGACCAGGGTGGTGGAGCCAAGAAAAGACAAAAGCCCAACCCAAACAGAAAAAAGGAAATGCCTATTTATTTTTTTTCCCTGAAAGTACATATTGAAACATGCAACCTTTTTGCATCTTGGAAAGAATATACTATATTTTGTCAATATGCATTTATGAAGGAAAATAACTAACTGGCTTTATCCTTATTCTGGGAGATTCAGCTCTGAGCCAGCAGCAACACATTCTAAAATAATAACTGTTGCCACTATTTAGGTTTAGCAAGCATTCAAAATGCTACAAAACCCAACTCCTTTTATTTGTTCATTGAAACTTGGGCCTTTTATCTCACGGATATATCCTCTGGAGCTGAGATTAGGAAGAACAATCCCACTGCAGATCTGACACAAGGGAAGAATTGCCTGTGTAACGAGAGTACACAGCACTGGCGGGCAATGCCCAAGGTCTGCAATTTTAGTTTTAAATTATTTGAAAGATTTGTATTATATGCTTTGTAGTATAGGAAAAATAAAATTTCATCATCTTCAGTATATATATTGTTGCTCTAATTTCTTGAATTTGCTTTCTACTCCTTTGTTTCCTTTCTCTGCATCAAATTGTTCGATCAGCTGTTACTGGATTTGAACTCTTAGTTTTTAAAGCAACAAGTATTTCAGCCCATATTTGTTGAACAGCAACTCAGCTTGTTCACAACATATATAATGAAATACATTTCTCTTCCAAAATGCAACCAGGCTACTTAGAAGAAGAATAAACAGGAGCCTAAAATCAAGGGCAGAAGCTCAGAATATGCTTGTAATGTCAACAGCATTTGAGCTTTCCCACCTGGCAATGTAGAGTCCACTGCTGTTACAGAAATACAACACAGAACACTCCCAAAACTGGCAGGAGGGTGCTTCTGAGATAACTGTGAGCTGCTGGTAAAAGTGGCCTTGTTTTTCCTCAGCAGAGACCTAACTCCTAACCCAGGCATATGTGGTAAGAGCACATGGCAGAAATTTTGCAGGTGAAGTGGGCCAGAACTGTAAATGTAAAGCAGAAAAAGGAAGACTGTCTCTCTCACCTTTCATGAACAATGGCACTTTTGTCATTTTCCACACGCCCTAAATAGACTGGATTCAGTAGCTTTGAATTCATGACATTCCTTCTCACACCACTCTCCAGCTCATAATAAGCCAGTAGCTCAGCAGTCTTTTTTTTTTTTTTTTTTAAATTGGCTAGGAAGGCAGGCAAGCTTTACAACCAAAACAATCAATTTCAAGCTGCTGAACCCAATCAGGCTGGTTTGAGAGTGACCCTTTAAATTGAGTGTGAAATTGGGAGATGGAGCTCCCCTTTCCTACTCCAGAGCTGGTGGAGAAACCATCACTTCCTTTTGTAAGTGGGTGCATTAATAGTTGTGCTGTTCTTGCAGACATTATGTGCTAACAAAACTATGTGTGCCTGGTTCTGTAGCAGGTTACAGGGGAAAAACAAAGCAAAGGCCATCTGGCTCCACCAGTTTGTATGTATAATGTCCAGATACTAATGCTTAATGCACTTGTAAACGTAAGTTGTCTCCCTCTCAGGGTCTGATTTTAATTTGGGTAATATTCCCGTTAATAATAACATCTAATTACAACATCCATTAAAAGTTAGTAACATTAATTTAACAGGGAGAAAATCTAATAGAGTTCTTAGAGCGGTATTGGCATTTTTCCATTAAATTAATGTTACAAACTTTTAAAAGGATGTCTTAAAGAGGCATCGTTAGTGGTGGGAATATTAAACAAATTAAACTTAGGCCTTTAATATGAGGTGGGAGCCTATTTATGAATCCAAGCAAAGGTGTCTGCTGTGCCTTTCAACCCATTTAAAATGCTTGACAGGAAGCATAAGGTTGCACAAAATTTGCAGTACCTAAGTTTCCCTCTAGTAAAAGCTCAAGTGAATGACCATTTTTTTTTACAGTATCTCTTTTGCTGGCCGTGTGGTCCAC